GATTAGTATAACATTCAGCAATGAAACAAATCATATTATCTACTTTACTAGAGGGACAATAGGCCTATATAGCCTCTGTTTGATTAATGTGAGAAATGATGGTACTTTCTTCAAATTTCAAAAAGTATGTTTCTATTTTCTCTAGGGTCCTACTGGTCCTATTGGTCCTCCTGGCCCAGCTGGTCAGCCTGGAGATAAGGTAACAAATAGCACCATTTGTGAGCAAAAAAAAAAAAAAAAAAAAAAAAAAAAAAGTGTGTGTGTGTGTGTTTGTGATTGGAATTTTTGTTATTTGTTTGTTTTCCTTTTTCTCAGGGTGAAAGTGGTGCTCCTGGACTTCCAGGCATAGCTGGACCTCGTGGTGGCTCTGTAAGTGTTAAAGACCTTTTCGACATCATTTTTAACCCTACACAGGCACTAGTTACTTGTGATACTCTTTACAGCAATTCCACCCCAGGAACCAGAGCCTCAATGTCAGAGTTTTATCTTTAGGAACGTGTGACATGCAAGGGAGTGTTAAATCCCTTAAACCTAAAATTCACAAAACAACATTTTAAACCATGCCTTCTTTCCTGTGTAACTACTGAAAAAACATAAAAGTTGCACAATAATAGACACCTGTAAATGAATATTTCTCAAGCCTACAAGTTCATTTCCAGAGGTGCCTTTTAGATCCAAATTATCTACCTCTGGACTTTAAGACTCAAGAAAGACATCTAGCAAGTGTTTTAAATCAATCAATGGACTTTTCCAATAACCATTTTACCATATTTAAGATAGTTACAACTTTAGAAGTTATATGACTAAATGCATTAAATAGTTCAACATTTTCAAACTATGTTTTCTTGAGAATAACATAGCCAGAGACAGAAGGCATCTACCTTCTACATTACAGTGAAACTGTGCTAGTCATCTTTGCACTGCCCATTTTCTGATTACAGGAAAGATAACATGATAGGGACAGTGTGCATTCCCTTGGGACACGTCTTCCTGAGGCTAACCAGTGTGTTGTTCTCCTCAGGGCGAAAGAGGTGAACAAGGGCCCCCAGGACCTGCTGGTTTTCCTGGTGCTCCTGTAAGTGAGAACATTTACACGTGCATGTCCCACGGCCTATAAGTACCCTCTTGCTGAACTCTAGCAGAAATATATGTCAAGTTCCTGTTTTACTCTTTCTTTTTGGGGGCGGGTACTGGCGATCGAACTCAGGAACTTGTGCTTGCAAGGCAGGTGGCAGAACCACTGAGCCCTGTTTCACTCTTTCTTAAGTTACTTATTCCCAGTAAAGCTATTTTACCCTTATTTTTCGCTCATTCCTACCTTTGCTCTTTTAAAAATGGAAGTAAAGAATGCCTGTTCTAACTTTATACCCAGATAACAAGGCTATAGCATTGCCCTTCATTTAAAATCACTGAATATTTTTAAAGTTATTCGTTATCAATGATATTGAAATTTGCTCTCAATCCAGTTGTTCTCAAGAGTTTGCCAATATTCCTTTTCGAATACACAATGTTTAGAAAACCTCTCTAATGTCAAATAACATATACCTTACGTTTTTCCATATTTTTTTCTTCTATCATGGAGATGCTTTGATTAACTTTGTATTAGCAGGACCTCAGAGAGCTTTCTCTTCTTAGCTTATTTCAATACCTTTCCATCTGAAGGAGTCTTTCGTCTAAAGCAAACCATAAGGCCGATATTGTGAGGAAGCCAGCCAACAGGTTGTCTCTGTTTCTGCGTGCAGGGACAAAATGGTGAGCCTGGGGCTAAGGGAGAAAGAGGAGCCCCTGGTGAGAAAGGAGAAGGCGGAGCTCCTGGAATTGCTGGACCCCCTGGAGGTTCTGGCCCTTCCGTGAGTACTCTCCCTAAGGCTGCTGGCGCAAAGCACATGGGTTTATCATTAATTTAATCTTTCACAGACAAAGCCTGCCGTGGTAAAAGAGTATAATCTTCATGGGAGTACAACTCCTAAGTTTGAAACTTGGTCCCAGAAGTCTACCCATGATAACACTCAAACTCTTCGTGAAGTTACTGGTTTTCAGAGGCTTCATGCATCTGTCAAAGTGTTATATTTAATAATCTTGTTTTTCCTTTCATTTCACTCAGGGTCCTCCTGGTCCCCAAGGTGTCAAGGGTGAACGTGGCAGTCCTGGTGGTCCTGTAAGTATTGAGCCTCTGAGCTGTTACTGAAAAACATTCATAGATATCAACCTGTAGAAAACTGCCCTAGAGATACCAGAGCCACTGAGTATAAGATAGCCACGTCGTGGTCATTGATGAGTTATATGTGACTGACGTAACCAAGCAAACCAAAAATGACTTCAAGGGAGAATTCAGGTGCTGTCACATTTCTTAGACTTTATATTTGTTTGTAGTGCATAGCTACTTGTTCTGGTTGTGAAACTCAAAATTCTCTGTTAATTCACAGGGTGCTGCTGGCTTTCCTGGTGCTCGTGGTCTTCCTGGTCCTCCAGGCAATAATGTAAGTTATTTTTGAAGTATGCTTCCTTACGTATTTTAAAAAGAAGATACATTTATCTGTACACTGAAAAACTTAGGTAAAAGAAGGAATAAAACATTTATTTTTTTTTTCAAAACAAATATTTAAATTGCTAACAATTCTATGCAGGGGAACCCAGGACCCCCTGGTACAAGCGGTGCTCCAGGCAAGGATGGGCCCCCGGGTCCCGCAGGTAACACAGGTTCTCCTGGAAATCCCGGAGTGTCTGGACCAAAAGGTGATGCTGGCCAGCCAGGAGAGAAGGGGCCACCCGGCGCCCAAGGCCCTCCGGTGAGTGGCTTCGTGGCTCTTTTGAGTGACGATGCTATTTTGCTTTCCTCCAGAATCAGCAGAGGGAGGCGTAGTGGTGTAAGGCCGAGCTGAGTCTTCATCATCTTCCTAACAGGGAGCCCCAGGCCCGCTCGGACTCGCAGGGATCACCGGAGCACGGGGTCTTGCAGGACCACCAGGCATGCCAGGCCCTCGGGGAAGCCCTGGGCCTCAGGGTATCAAGGTGAGTGTGGTCTTTCTTCCCTGGACTCTCGCTTCCTTTCACAGCATTCAGCAGTCACTTGGCCACATCAGAAATGGAGAGGTTCTCTTCATAGGTACAAATTATTGAAAGGGTGATTTTCTTTTATATTTGTAGTCTGGCAAAAACAAACATTTTATTAAATGGTCCCAGAACATAAAAATCTTGAGTGCAAGTAACCAAATTAATGTCACAGAAAAATCATCTTGCCATCTCTCTAGCACCTCTGTTAGGAACAGAACATTATTCAGTTGTTTGACTATTGATCTTGAAAGGGAAATTCACGCTACAGTACAAACCTATGAAAGCCTTTAACTGGTTCAAATGATCCTTCTACTCTGGCCCTTTTGCACTTGTGATTTTCTCTCTCTAGCATTACATGGTGTTCTAGTGCTTAGGATCTAAAAGACACGTGCAGTCATTAGGGCAATAACGGTCCATAGTTATTAGGGCTCACAACACAATACCTTCAACTCTTCTTTCAAAACATGCCAAGTAATAGATACTGTGTTGAAATTGACATTTAACATTAAATGTATCCAGTGTATATGCTTCGTACAGAGACAAGTGTTTAGTAAAACCAAATTTTAATGGGCACTATAGTTTCATGGGGATCAGCATTATTCTTTCTTGCAATATCTCTATCTAGGCAACTGGTGTTACAATGGATTCTGACTAAGATAAGCAATGTAATTAGTCATGCCCTGGCAGCCTAACTCACCAATCAAGTGGGAAAATGTAAGATGCTCACCACCTCTCAACTTTTTTCCTGTGTATGGCGCACATGGTTTTATGAAAAAAAAGAAAGGAAAAGAAAAAAAAAACTTTAAAAGAAATTGAGCAAAACAAGATTTTTTCCTAAGAAATGTAGAGAGCTGATAACACTATAAACTGATCTTAATTAAATTAAAATGCCTCTTATCCCTTTGTGTGTAGGGTGAAAGTGGGAAGCCAGGAGCCAGTGGCCACAACGGTGAACGTGGACCTCCTGGACCGCAGGGTCTCCCTGGCCTGGCTGGTACTGCTGGTGAACCTGGAAGAGACGTAAGTGACAATTCTTAGGCAATATTTAACTAGGTAGGGAAAATTTAGTAATTTATTTAAGGATAGGTCAAATGGAGCTTTAATGTCTAAGAGGATAAATATGACCACATAGCCAAGTTCACTTTCTTCCTCGATAAGAGATATTTTTCTCTTGCAATGTACAATAAATAACCTAAAAGGCCTATGGCCATTGAGATTTATCCAACAAATAATATTAGGGGGAAAATATGGTCTCTAAATTAGGAAACAAAGTAGTGCAGAAAGCTCTTATTTACAAATTTTCCTGAATGAAAATATTTTATAATTTTCTGTGATTAGTCTTTGATTGCTTCTTTTTCATTTTAAAAGTAATATTTTATATTGACAAAGCTAATTCTACAAATTTACAGAGCTAATTGGATGTAGATTTCCATTATCAGTTCCAAGGTGTCTGTTACCCAAAACTTATTTATTAGGCCCCTCTTCTTAGACTTTTTTTCTGATCATCCCACCTTGTAAATTTAGTACTACAGATGTGCCATGTATCTCTTTGGGTCTTGCGGCTTTTTGAGGAACCAAATCCCATTATAATTGTCTAAGATTTCTTGTCCCCCAAATCTATTTTCACCCCCCTTGATAATAATGAATGTCCTTTTTTTTTTTTTGGTACTGGGGATTGAACTCTCTACCTTGCGCTTGTGAGGCAGGCATGGCCACTGAGCTAAATCCCCGGCCCTAAGAATGAATGTCTTACATAGTATTCGAAGGACTTCAAGAAACTTGACTCACTTCCTCCTTTTTCTTTTAAATCAGGGAAACCCTGGATCAGATGGTCAGCCAGGCAGAGATGGATCTCCTGGTGGCAAGGTATAACAAATACGTGCACAAGAATTTAGTGAAGCAATTTATTGCTGTTTTCATATTTGGGATCTGTGAATTTGTTTCCAGGGTGATCGTGGTGAAAATGGCTCTCCTGGGGCCCCTGGTGCACCTGGTCATCCAGGCCCCGCTGGTCCTGTGGGTCCTGCTGGAAAGAGTGGTGACAGAGGAGAAACGGTGAGTTCCAGTAAACACTGCCTCTCTTTACTTGTCTATTTCCCTCCGTGAAGAGTTTTGTAGGGAGAAGATAGATTGTCAAATCTGCCGACCCAATTATCAGCCCTCTTACAGTTTTTATGCAAGGCATCCTGTAAACAAGCATGCTAATGAAGGTACCCCAGGCATTTCTAGCAATTGTCAATGAAGAATTCATTACTAAAACCCCAAGCAGTATTAAAAAGGCCAACTACCTATTTCCTGGGTAAAGGCAAAGCTGAATTAACAGAAACTTTGTTCAGCTCTCCTATCTACCCCTGCTTTTAAAGACGTAAGGGCAAAGCAAGAATAACTTCCAATAATACCGTGCATGCTGTTAGTCCCATCTCAATGAAATTAGTAACATTTAAAAACAAAACTTACTCAATAAACATAGACAGTTCCCTGTGTATTTGCTCACTGATTTGTTTCCTCTTAGGGCCCTTCTGGTCCTGCTGGTTCTCCTGGTCCTGCTGGTGCCCGAGGTGCTCCTGTAAGTTGTTTTTTGTTTTTTGTTTTTTTTTTTATTTGAATTCATTGTATAGTGCAGGAAATATTATCTTTTCTGTCATGTTCTGGAAAAGACAATGACAAAATTTGTAACTACGGCACAAATGTAATCTCTTCTTTGATGATACTGAAAGCAACTCTGGTACTAAAAATTCCTTGGCGCCAAGAACATAAGCATCAATTATTTGGATTCTGTAGGATTAACATTCCAAAATTAAAACAATCCAGAAATGATCGTTATTGCTTCATGTATGAAGTGTCTATTAATGGCGATTTCTAGGTAATACAATGTCATAAAATAGATTGAGTCATTATAAATGCCATTTCATCTTTCCAGTATGTCTGAGTGTATGGCATTAATTTGAATTGTGTATTTGAAGGGTCCTCAAGGCCCACGTGGTGACAAAGGTGAAACTGGTGAACGTGGTTCTAATGGCATCAAAGGACATCGAGGATTCCCCGGCAATCCAGGCCCCCCTGGCTCTCCCGTAAGTTCATCCATTGTTAGAAATTCTCCCTCACTTTACCTGCTGGGCAAGATGATTTTTAGAGACTATTAGTAGAAAACTTTCCATCTCTAAAAGTCTGTGCTGGAAGATAGGAAAAATGAATCCAAGAACTTATGTGAAATAGTGGCATGGCAAAATGAAGGAACTGAAACAAGAGAAAATCATGATCACGACATTTCCTGATAGATAAGGAGCATAGTTTCCTAAGCCCTTTTAAGGTCTTCACCTGTACTTATCCTTCTTTTCTTTTCAGGGTGCTGCTGGTCACCAGGGTGCTGTTGGTAGCCCAGGACCTGCTGGCCCTCGAGTGAGTACCACAGATATACACTGGAAGATTCACATTTCTATAATGTTTGCACTACAAGAAAATATTCTAGAATTACAATATCATGATCATTTCTTAGGGACCTGTTGGACCCAACGGGCCTCCTGGCAAAGATGGAACAAGTGGACATCCTGGTCCCATTGGGCCACCAGGGCCTCGAGGCAACAGAGGTGAACGAGGGTCTGAGGTGAGACACCACTTATACATAGGCAGATTTAATTCTCTATACTCGTCAAATTTTCAGAAATACTGTACAGTATTTTTAACTGAGACACTGAGTTAGATACAGTGTAATAATTTTATTTAGAAAATGAACAGTGACTTAAAAAAAAAACATTCTGGCCCACAATTAAGACATTTCTCACCACACTATACCAGGAAGAAATTTTTTCTATAGTTTGATAGCTGTCGTATCAAGCTGATGATGTCTGCTTAATGACCCAAATCGGTGCTGATCTCAGACCCAAGTTCTTAAGGCTTCGATAATCATAACAATTTGCATTTTATTTACTTTGCAAATAACTCCCATGATTCCTGTATCGCTACTGATACCATCATTCCTAGTGGATCCCTATCCCCTATGTCTGGGGTAAGTGCAACAACAGCTATCATCTCTACACGTTCCACAAGTGACTGTTAAAACACAAATAAGTCATCAGCCCAAAGATACAAAGTTAACTGCAAATTGGGGGCCAGAGTCCAGTTCCCTCATTTTATCTCCTCTGTCATGTCAACGTTCGAGTTGTACATCACGGGCTGTTTACTTACAACATTTATACAGAAAGAATGCTATCATAAAATGTGACACACAGTACTGTTTCTTACAAAGTGGAACAATGTTTTCCTGACAACAAACTATGGTCATTACTCATGGGTTCTCACATGGCTGCAAAGGTAGCCAAGTGAACTTTGATAATAAATAGTCACACAATATATGCATTGTTTTTAATGCATTTCCTTGGACTAGTAGCATAGTCTTTCATGGGAGATCAAACAAGACCATATTTCAGTGATGTGTATCGCTCCTACCTTAGGGTTCCCCAGGCCACCCAGGACAACCAGGTCCTCCTGGACCCCCCGGTGCCCCTGGTCCTTGCTGTGGTGGTGCTGCTGCCATCGCTGGGATTGGAGGTGGTGAAAAATCTGCTGGCTTTGCACCATATTATGGAGATGAACCAATGGATTTTAAAATCAACACTGAAGAGATAATGTCTTCACTCAAATCTGTTAATGGACAAATAGAAAGCCTCATTAGTCCTGATGGTTCCCACAAAAATCCTGCTAGGAACTGCAGAGACCTGAAAATGTGCCACCCTGAACTTAAGAGTGGTATGTATGAGAATCTCTAAGAGTGTGCCCACAAGTTATAGGAAAGCAGCTTGTATTAGGGATTGGTGGAAAAACTTTCACTGTAAATCGGAAATAATTTGAAATCAAGATAGTATTTAGATAATGTTCATAGAATTTAATTTTAAATTGAATTTAATTTTTAAAAATCTTTGCAGATATACAGTGTAATGTAAATAACTACAAAATATTTTAAGTACAGGAAAATCTAAGGACACTCGTCAGAATGTTAATACAATAGTAGTTTGCTATTCCTGAACATCACAACTGATGTAGCAAAATGATTTTCATCATTGTGTTCTAGGATTAAGAAGACATAATTTTATTGTAATTGTATTATGACACTTGAATCTATTATAATAAATCTAATTATTAAAATTTTCAAATTTAGAAACAAAATTTCAGAATACTACATAGAACTGAGTAGACTATTGTAATAGTTTAAGATTTTGCATATACAGTGGGTTAATTACTGTTGAAAAGCGAAATTATCTTAAGCTTTCAAATATCTTGACATGGAGCATTGTATTTCCTCAGAGTCATTTCTACAAATTAATTAAAATAGCCATCAATTGGGTTTAGGTGTTTTGACACAGATCTGGCTTAGACAACTAGTTTATATTAAGTTACATTAACTGTTTGTTGATCCCTTTCAAATGAGGAAATTTCACCAAATACTATACACCAACCAGAAGTTCTTAGTATGTCATCGTTATTTAAAACCAAAATGTTACGTTTTATGTCAGTGTTTTTATAGTTAGAACCTGCAGGATCAATGTAAATGTTTCTCTATAGGCCCTACATACAAGATGCTAGTGGTCAACATGATGAATGCCTTATTTGATAAACAACAGCATTCATTCTGGTCCCTTTCCTTACCGGACTTTCTAACCAGCGCCCTCTGTTCCTTCATTGTGATTCTTCAGGAGAATATTGGGTCGATCCTAACCAGGGCTGTAAGATGGATGCTATCAAAGTTTTCTGTAATATGGAAACTGGGGAAACGTGCGTAAGTGCCAGTCCTTCTTCAGTGCCACTGAAAAACTGGTGGAGAGATTCTGGTGCTGAGAAGAAACATGTTTGGTTTGGAGGGTCCATGGATGGTGGTTTTGAGGTACGAAAGGACATGCCATACTTAACTGACATTTTTTTGTTCCTCCTATCTGTTGATCACAAAGCTTAAGTTAACTAATACACAGAAGAGCCCAAGTGACTTTATATATTCAAGTGACTTGCTTTCATAACCTCCCTCTCAGTAAGAGCTAAACTAGATTGAGTTGCTTTGCAAGCAAACACCTTTCTTTTACTCCTGAAGACCTTTGCTCTGCCACACAACAAAAATATACAACTGTAGAATATGTAAGAACAGTGTGTGTTCAATGCCCACACTAACGCTCCATGAAGCCCTTGTATGAAGCTGCAAGTTTGATCAGTCTTATTTGTTTTCCTCTCACAGTTTGGCTATGGCAATCCCGAACTTCCTGAAGATGTGCTCGAGGTCCAGTTGGCACACCTCCGACTTCTCTCCAGCCGGGCCTCCCAGAACATTACATACCACTGCAAGAACAGCATTGCATACATGGATCAGGCCAGTGGGAATGTAAAGAAAGCCCTGAAATTCATGGGGTCAAATGAAGGCGAATTCAAGGCTGAAGGAAACAGCAAATTCACATACACAGTTCTAGAAGATGGTTGCACTGTAAGTAACATCACATTTATAAGCAAAGGTCATGATACACTAAGCAAATCTAGTCTTATCATTTTATTTTGGAAAGAAGAAATAAAAATAAGCAGGTGAACAAAAGATGGCATTTGTTGTAAATTATGTAATATTTACAGATTCATTTCAGGGAAAGTGAACTACTACAAAAATTGAATACATCTTAACTTGTAGAAGGAAATTAGTTGAAAGTAATCAAAATTTAAACCCATAACATCATCTTTATCAGATTAACTGGACATGCCTTTAAGATTAATTTTATCATGTATAGTCTGCATAATATGTATCATATGAACTTAATCTAATATCTACACTTTGTATAAAATTTTAAAGGTTGACTTTGAGTCTGTCCTTTGTTATTTCCTTCTGTGAACAAAGCGGGAGCCCACTGCTAATGTTAGCAAAGTCCAGTGAGTGACTTAAGCCACCTCTTAATAACCCAACTATCTCTCTGGTAGCATAGACCAGAACCAGGCCTCATGGGAGTGTGGCAGTCTCCCTGCTAGGGAGACTTCAGGTCTGACAAGGCTTTTGATTGACAATGGGAAGGATTATAACTTGAAATAGAGTGGTCTCATGTATGGGAGGTAACATGGTACACTGAGAACTCCCTTACAGCAGAAAAGTTTTCCAGCTCAATCAGTCAGAGGAACTGTGTAAGAAATTGTAATGTCATTATAACTTAAACTCTTTCCTCTTTTATACAGAAACACACTGGGGAATGGAGCAAAACAGTCTTCGAATACCGAACACGCAAGGCCATGAGACTGCCGATTGTAGATATTGCACCCTATGATATCGGTGGTCCTGATCAAGAATTTGGTGTGGACGTTGGCCCTGTTTGCTTTTTATAAACCAAACTCTGTCTGAAACCCCCTGAAATAATTCCACATTCCATATGTGTTCCTCTTGTTCTGATCTTGTCAACCAGTGCAGGTGACCAACTTAATTCCAGTTATTTATTTCCAAAATTTTTGGAAAAAGAATAATTTGACAGACATAAGAAAGTATGTGTGTTTTTTCTGTTCCACCAAATACAGTTCAAATGCTTTTTGTTTTATTTTTTTACCAATTCCAACTTCAAAATGTCTCAATGGTGCTATAATAAATAAACTTCAACACTCTTACAATAACACTGTGTTACATTCTTTGAATCCTAGCCCATCTGTGGAGCAAAGACTATGCTCACCAGTAAAAATTAATCTTTCTTTCTGAAGCAGTCAAACAGGAAATCAGAAAAGACCTCCCTATTTAAACTACCTCAAATGGTCAGAAACATAAATTCTGTAAGTTCCAGAAGACCAAACAAAAGCATAAGCGGGCAAAGCTTGTGACGTCATTTGTTAATTTTCTAAGATACTGATAAAAATATAGTGTAGTACAGTGATTTAGAGTAATATTTTAAAGCCACCATTATTCTATTCATTGATACCAGCTACTTTTAAAGGTGCTTCTCTCTTTTCTAGTCATCGCTGGTAAAGATCACAAATATTTGGGAAGGCTTTAATGACACATGTTATGGTGCTAATGTACTTTCACTTTTAAAATTCTGGATCAGAATTGTTGATCTGCTTTCAAACCATATGCACAGTATCTATCTGTCTCCTCTTAGAAAGATTAGTTGACATACCACAGGGGCATGCCCTTCATCTTGTAAAAAAAAAAAATCACTAATATAAAACCAATTACGGGGCTGCATTTGTCACAACAACACAGAGAATGTTTGAAACTTTCTTTTGTAAACTTGTATGTGGTTGTTGATCTTTCTTTTTCTTTCAGACACCCATAATAAAACATCATAAGAAACATTCCTGGTTTTCGTCCCTGTTCATGGATTTGACAAATACATGTCTTTACCCAGAAACTCATGATTTTCATGAAAAAGTAGATTAAATTCTAACTCTTTAGGTTAATAATATGAAGCAATATAACATAGGTTCAGAGTAGAGAAAATGCTCTGTAGGAAATCCTACAGAGTTGCAGAGGAACCCTGGAGGCATATGGGAAACAGAGATCATTCTGGTTGAAATGGTCAGTCCCTGGGCATGGTAAAGTAATAAAAAGGGTGTCTTCCAAAGGGGAGTAGTTAGAAAAGAAGATGCTGATAATTTATCAAAAGTAAGATAGATCAGCTGGGGATTTAGCTCAGTGGTTCCAGTGCCTGCCTCGCAAGTGCAAGGACCCAAGTTCGATCCCTGGTACAAAAAAAAAAGTAAGATAGATCAGTAAAACATACTAATATTAAGAACATCAATGCCTCATGATTTTACCTATCTGCTGTATCTAGAAAAGTTTAGCAGAGAAAAGAGCTGATATATTGCTTACTAGTGTCTGTGGGTGGAATGAAATGAGGACATTTTGGTCAAAGAATTTCAGTTAAGTAACAAATAAATTCAAGAGATCTATTTTGCAAAGTGGAGGCTATAGTTAATAGCAATATATTACATACTTTTGAAAATTTTTAAAAGAATAGATTTGTTCTTGTCCTCCCCACACAAACTGAGTATGTGAAGTGAGGCATATATTAATTTTAACTTGTGAGCCACTCAAAATGTATACCTATTTCAAACTATCACATCCTACATGCTAAGTATATATAGTTTTTTGCTAATTAAGAATAAAATACATTCTAAAAATATTTAAAATAATTACAATAAGGCATTTTCTACCATCTTTGTGTTCACACTGCTACACTGATCTCTTGGGTCAGTCTATTCTTTACTGAAAATTTCTTATGTAGTTTAGTTACCACTAACAAAAATAGTAGCCTTGTATACTTGGCTTTAAATTTTGAAATGTTTTCACTCCATATGGATATGAAAATAATGCTTTCCAAATCAAAAGTTGCATCATGCAAACATCAGGTCTTGGTCCACTTATGTTTCAACCAAAATCGTCTGTGTTAACAGACTCTGGTGTACATTTTCAGTAATGTTTGACCTTCTTGAAAATAGTATGTGTTCATTTTACATTATATTATAATATTATACTCACATAAAATTCTAAATGCATCTGAATTACAGGCACACTTACATATATACATATGAGAGAGAGAGCCAAAAGCATAAATTCCCAAATTATGTTGAAATTTTATTTTACACAAAAAGAAGCATATTAAATATAAAAGTTTGCCCTCCATATTGTTAAGTTAATATGT